GGGTTTATTAATTTATTACAAGTACTGTGTTCTTTCCTTAATAATTATCATCTTCCAAAATATTGTTGTTTTTGTTTATCAGATTTCTTACGTTGGCATTTTTAAATTATTTCTTAATACTTTCTTTTAAATATTGAATTAATTTCAAATAGAACCAATGCCTTATTGATCTACCTTGTAACAAATTGCAAAGGGAATTGAAAAAACGGCACTAAAGTACATGGAATTATCTTTCCCTATTTTATCAAATCGAAAAAAACGATTGATTATCTGTCCTTTTTTTTGACCAAAAAAAAAAAAACAATATTTTTAATGAAAATTTCAGGCGTGCTAGAACGATTAAAAATGTAAAAAAAATACCCCAAAAATACTTTGATCTTTCCTCTTTAATAATAATATGAACATTAGACGATAAAATTTTGTTTTCGTCAAGTTCGGCTTTTTTTTTTCATCATGCTATGCTCTTTTGTTTACATTTTCGTGGGTGAGTTGTCCCCTTTCATTCTCACGATGTGTCTTAATCGTGTTTTCAAATTGATTTTGTTTAAAAAACAATGTATTTTTCCCATTTTCGGCGCCGTAAGAACCACCACAAAGGTAATTTTTTATGTAGTCCTGTGAAGTTTTGTTGAAATCGGCTAAAAAATGTAGGAAATTCGATCCAATATATAAACGTTACAGACACACACACACACACACAATCTGCGTTTTATAAGTAAGACTAGAGATTTTTCTTGTTAAAAACTTGAATAATTTTAACATATTCAACATTATAGATAAAAAAGGGAATTTTATATAGTGCTTTTCAAGACTTAGCATGAGAAAAACAAATTCACAGATTTAGATGAACAAAAAAAAAAAAACCCAAAAAAACCAAAAGACCCCAGAATGGTGTCAAAACCTGCAAAAAATAGTATGTTGTGCTTTGTTTAACTTGCAAGGTATGTAAATATAGGTAGAAAAAAGCAAATTTGAAAAGATAGTGAGGATCACAAAGCACTGCCTGGGGACCCAATCAAGCTTGTAAGAAATCAAGGGGGGTTTCAGGAGTAGTACACACTGGCCATACACAGCAGGATATGTTGAATCCCACAAACAAGGTCAATAATATTCACTTAGAGGCACAAATTTCTGTTGTACAAAATGGAGACCCTAGTATATAAATTTGTTACATATCCAAGATGGTACTGAAAAGTTCTCAGGCTGTATATGCTGTGGTTGTAGCATTCAATGGAAATACATGTGTATTTAATGCCCATTGGTACCTAATTTTTTTGAGTCAATCTACCAAGAGATTTTGTGTTAACTATGCATTCAGTTCTTATGTAAAGTTTTGAAATGTTGCATGGGAATTGCTCATCACTCTTTACAATGACAGACAAATTTGAGCAACATGCCTGCATAAAATCTTTGGAAAATCATCTATTGACAACCTTGTAATGTTTCATTAAGCTTTGGGCAAACATTCTTTAGGTCAGGAATTTGAGTAACACATGTATTTCAATGATAATAGTAATTGTAATATTAGCCATTTTCTTACAGGAAACATTTGGCATTCATTGACTGAGCAGCCAGTACTACTTTCAGTTGAAATTTACAAAATCTTTCTCTTAAAACAATTTTTCAGAAAAATAGGTTTCTCAAGTCCAGTAGAAGTTTCCTTCCTAACCTTATATTTGAAGTGGTGTGGAATATCAACATCTTGTTTATGTCATCATTTTCTATTCAAGTTACATGTGCTATCCATTTTAGTTGTTACTGCTGTTGGTAGTCCTCAAGTGATGTGGGTTTTGTTATTTGGTACCATTTTTTGTTTGTAATTCTATAGTGCCAATCTACAAGATTTGGACAAGTATGGTCTCTGTCAAGAGTTGAATGTCTGTTCAAGATGATGAGCATTCAGCATAATTGGATTGCCATATATATATATATATATATATATACACACACACAAATGTAAAAGAATGAAGAATAAAATTTCAACATTCAAAACATTAATTTAAAACAGGGCTCAATACAAAAGTAGAGCAGTAAACATTTTGTAGTGGATATTTACATGTTCAATTATACAACTATGGCACTGGAAGTAGAGAAGAGGAGGATGTGTAGAGAAAAAAAAACATTTTTCATCCGGGGTCATAGAGACTGAGGATATTTTTACATATATATCTACACCTCGACATTGTTTGAGTTCTGCTGTTTAACAATATATGGCTGTTCTTGTAAGTTGTTATAACCATCTTCTCTTCCTGGCACAGCCTACAACTTCTACCACTTGTTCTGCTCGGTTTAACTTGTTTGAAGATACTCCACTTCATGCTTGGCCTTCTGCCATGTTCATCCTTTAATTTACAAACGTGATCTGCCAATTTTGTATTGTACCTACATTTATCCACCCTGAAAGTGTAATTGTGGTTATACCAACATTTTTTGTATGGGCCTTCGGTACAACCTATATAGATCTTCTTCTGGCTACTGTTGTTGCTAACTTCAGCCTGGTAGACCACTCCTTCTGTACAGCACATCATGTTTAGAGGGCGATCTGAACTATCAAAGGTTTTCAATAGGAACACCATTAAATTAAGCTATAGCTGTATGGGCAATTTAAGTAATTTGGTAAAAAAGCATAATGCTAAGACCTTAAATATAAATGATTCAAGAAATAAGGAAAAAAAGCAGTTTATGTAACTGCAGAATTAAAAAAAGTGTTCTCTAAATTAGATGTTCTGTACAGAGGGTGGCTGCTGGAAGACCCTATGTCTAGCAACAGGACTCTGCACCATGCCACACAAACAGGAGAACCCAGTCGTGGCTGTTAGACAATTTCTGCAACTACATCACCCCTTATGTCTGGCCATCTAACTCCCCAGACTTGCAACCCCCTTGATTATTATGTGTAGGGTGCAGTTGAGCGAGAGACCAACAAAACTCCTTGTAATGCCAAAGATGAACTGAAGGCAAGGATTATGGCAGAATTCACCAACTTAAACAAAAAGACTTTCCAAAAGGGTCGCAGGAGATTCTAAAGTCATCTGGAAGCTATGGTTGAAGCCATTGGTAATATTATTGAATAAATTTACTCTTTAGTATTTCAAGATATTTTTGTGTAATTTTGGTAAATATATCTGTTAAAATGAAATGGCAGTGTTATTTTCATTTTTGCATAATTTAGACAATTTATACTTTGTACTCTCTCTCTCTCTCTCTCTCTATATATATATATATATATATATATATATATGCCATGACAATATTTTGTGGCACACTTAAGAGGATCGCACTGGTTGAGAATCACTGGTCCAGGTTTTTTTTTTTATAGTACACGACCTTTTGAGAGAAGTGTATTTTTATGAAGGCCAGATGATTTGGGTAAAAATTGTAACACTTGTATAGTTTTTTTCAGCTTAGCAGTTGAAAACCACCAAAATTGTGAAGGATTCATTTCAAGTTTATGGAAAATTGATTTTTCATATTTTGTAGTCAATAAGAGCAATGGTCTCATGCCCTTATGTATACTTGGATGCAAGCCTAAATTTTTTAATAAATAGAACTCAAGTCAGTGGACAAGGGGAAGAATTTTTGACAGCGAGAAGACAAGGCAAATCAACATTAAAGAACAAAAGGCTTTTAACATCAAGAAGGCACCAGTTACCAGCCAGCTGCAGAGAGACTAAATAATTTTGAAGTTCAAGTGAAAATTCTCCTGCAATTGGACAACAAAGAACAAAAAGAATTCTAAGAAATTTTCCCAAGCATGAATAATGTGATTTTAAAAGAGAATTTTTGATATTTTTTGTGAATTTTGGTAAATATATCTGTTAAAGTGAGGTGTCAGTGTCATTTTTGCATAATTTGGATGACAATTTATCCATCGCACATTATATATATAAAAAGTAGATGTTGAAGTCAAAACACACACACACACACACACACAGAAAGGATGTTATAGGTAAATTGTTGTCTAAATTAAGCAAAAATAAAAATAATGCTGACATCTCATTTTAACAGACAAACATCTGACAGAGATTAGTTAACCATCTTAGCAGATGGGCATCCTCGGATACGAGCGACTCCGCCATTTAGATTAAAGAAACACTTGAATTAGAAATATGATTTTAGTTGAGTTTATGAAATGAGAAACAATTTTTAATTGAATAAAACACACAGCAAAATAAACAAAGCCATTTTTCAGTTTATGTAAATGCACTTGAAACAGACAAAAAGGTTAAAAAAAATGAGAATTTCAAGTTAGATGAAAGAGTAGTTAGTTTGGATAATGTCTTTTGTCTTGTATTATTGTTTATGGAACTCAAAATATGATGGAAGAACAAATGTTAAAGTCTTCTTTCATTGTAAAAACATTTTATAATATAAAACAATGTGATTTTATATATTTATTGATCACATAGTCTGATCTGTTTTTCTTAATTTGGAGATATTCTGTTACTAACAAGAGAAATTACTTGATAGAATGTGCTAAAAAGTTCTTGGCTTTACCAATAGGATCTCAAGAAAAAAAAATTCTGCCGTTTTGCTATTTTGGAAGATTTTTGTAAGTAACTAAGAATTTTTCATTGTCCCATGTTTATTGATTCATTCATTTACTACACCTTATCAACCCTTTGCAGGTTATTTAAGACCAGAAAATATATTTAGATTGTACAATTTTTTTTTTTGTTGAGATAATAATGGTTTAGTGATACAAGTCTTACTAATTAACCCATAGCTGGGGAGAAAGAGGTGGATTCATACCTTTCCCATGGGTACATAAGTGAATATAACAAACTCAAAATGAAAATGGAACTGTGCTCTCTGATTTCCAATTCCAAGCTATTAACTGTTACACCACCTGCACATCCAAGCTTACAGCACCTGTTATACCTAAGTGGTCACCCATCTAGCTACTGACTCAGCTCAATATTGCTTAACTTCAGTGATCATATTAGGAAGCAGTGTTTCAATGTGATGTGGTTATAAGCCATGCCACTTATATATACAAGCTTACAGCACTGGGTATTCTCAAGCGGACACCCATCTAGCTACTGACTTGGCTCAATATTGCTTAACTTCAGTGATCATATTAGGAAGCTGTGTTTCAATGTGATGTGGTCATAAGCCATGCCACTTATATATACAAGCTTACAGCACCGGGTATTCCCAAGTGGACACCCATCTAGATACTGACCAGGCTTGACAATGCTGAACTCTGGTGATTGTACTGGAACCGATGATTCAACATGATGTGGACATAAGCCCCGTGTAAAAGGTTGATAAGCTATAAAAAGCAAAACAATCAATCAATAGCTGTATTGGAAATTAGTTAAGAACCAAACTTTGATAATTCCTTTATATAAATCAATGCAAATTGCCTGTGTCTTGTGCAGCAGACTGAAAGCAAGTTAAAAATGAAAACAGATCTGTAGACATATGAAGCAACTTTAGCAGCAAGTGTTACAAAATGTCACAAGAAAGCAGAAGAGTTACTTTATTACAACAGCAAACAGAGTGAGAGACAAAAGAGTATGTGTTGGATTGTTGACCAGACAAGCAAAAAGGTACAGGGAAGACATGTACAACACAGTCAAAACACCTGCCAGCCTCTACCTGAAGTCTTTTTCCCACGATTATGAGATGACTTGTGCAAGGCTTCGTTGCTCAAATTCTTGTATCGTTTTGGTGTAGACATAAATGGTACTGGGATCACTTGCACTTCCTCCACTGAAGTAGATTTATGTGGGGAGGTTGTGGTCCCTTGTATGGTAGGGAGAAAAAAAAAGACAGATATGGTTAAGATTATTTTGTGCTTTAAAAAAATAAAATTGTGCATTCAATGAGATTTTCAGATGTACCAGTTCCAGTACCTCTTTGTATTTCAGTTGAATGGGGAAAACAGAAAAAAAAAAAAGATTTAAATGAACATCACAGTAATCTGAGAGACTCATTCGTATTCTGAATGACTCTTTTGGTTTCTGTTTGAATTCTTGAGATGAGAAATTATTATTATTATACACATCGATCTGTTTGGACTAGTGTTTTTATTTTGGTTGTCATAGTCACGACATTTTGGCATTTGAACTCTCCAGCTTTCTTCAAGGGTTTGTTATATTTGGTAATCTTCTGGATTAGGAAAGAAGTTACATTAAATTTAAGACTCTAAAATTTCAGTCAGATTGCTTAATGATGACTTAGCGCATACAAGTCTTAGTTATACTATAGACCAAAGGTTTGGAGCCACCCTCTAGATTTAATAATTAGTAAGTTTCAGACCTTCTTTGGCGTCCAGTTTGTTAAAGAGGTTACCTAAAATTTAAAATCTGCCAGTGGTTACACTGGCGAAAATAAGTTTAAGGCCAATGGTTAAAGTTTTCTATTAAAACAATATAAATTAGTTTTATTGTGTACGTTTTATGCAGAATTTATTTCTATTATTAATTGTATATCAATGCTCAGTTATTACATTATATAATGCATTAATGACCAGCCATGTGACCTCCTATTTAGCAAATAATTTGCATAATACCCATGCAGTTTTAAACTTATTTTGCTGGCAAATTTGGATAATTTAAATTAATTCAGCATTAAAATTTTTCAAGTTGTAGAAAAATATACAATTTTTACATCATTCAAAAGAGAAATAAATTCTGCAGGAAGCATATACACAGACATGACAGAATTGAATAGATACCAAGATAAATTAACTTAGATTATTTGATTAAAATTGCAGATAACAATATCCACGAACCAAAGGAGCATCAGACCTATCCGAATTTCAGCAAGGACGTATTGTGGGCCAACCTGAAGGTGGTCTTAGTAAGAGAAAAAATATCTGAAATTCTTTCAATACCCCTTTCTACTGTTAATAGAGTGATCGTACAATTCACCAGAGAGGGCAAGAAGTGCACAAAACCTCATCCAGGCCGCCCTGGGACCTCTGAAAGAACCATGCGTCTTGTTGAAAGAAATGTTGAACAGGATCCACGTTGCAAGGCCTCTGACATAGCAACACAAGATGATGTCAGTCCCAGAACAGCTGTCAGGTATCTTCACAAGCTGGGCTACTATGGCAGAGCTGCGAGAAGGAAACCACTTCTCCGTCCAGCCAATATCAAACGCAGAAAGGATTGGGCTCATGAGACGGTGGAGAGACCTGTGACCTTTTGGACCACTGTCATTTTCCCTGATGAGTCAAGATTCGCATTATTTTCTGAGTGGATGAGTATGGGTATGGAGACTCTGTAGTCAACAGTTTGATTTAAAAAGACTGCAGCCAACGGTGAAACATGGAGGCCTTCAGTAATGGTATGGGGTGCAATTTGGAGTGATGGTCACTCAGAGCTTGTGGAGTGTGAAGGAAACATTAATTCAACCAAATATATTTCTATATTAAAGAAAGGGCTCCTTCCAATATTCTCAAGTAGTAGAATGAGCAAAATTGACTCCTTATTTATGGAAGATGGAGCTCCATGCCACACTGCTCAAGCAACGCAACATTGGTTGAGACAAAATTGGATCAATAAACTTCCATGGCCAAATCAGTCCCCAGATATTAACCCTATTGAACACCTTTGGGGCATATTAGATTGAAAACTCTGCAAAAAGAACAGGAAGCCATCTTCTAAGCCCAAACTTTTAGGATTATTTCGTCAAACATGGCAAGAAATCCCTCAAGATGATATTCATGAACTCATCGCTAGCATGCCTAGAAGGGTCCTTGCATTAAAAAAAAGCAAAAGGGATGTCAACCAAGTATTAGTTATTAAATTTATGACCATTTATAATTACTTCATTTGTATGAATTACTTGTTTAATAAAATAAACAGTTTCTGTGAGCGTCTATTCAATTCTGTCATGTCTGTGTATAATAAAACTAATTTATATTGTTTTAGTAGAAACATATTTTGAAATGAATAAAACTTTAACCATCGGTCTTAAACTTATTTTCGTCAGTGAATAGTCAGCAGGGTAGAGTAGGCAAAAAAGAAGGGAACCTTATGCAGTAATGAATTAATTTTGCTATTATTACTATTATTATTAAATATATGATAAACACCTCCAGGAAGAGAAAGCCGCTCTGGCTCTAAATGAGCTAAGTAAATTTGTTTTGAAAAATACATGAAAGCTTCAATTTTTAAAGTAATTCTTAAAATTCAGAGGGTGGCCCCAAACTTTTGGGGTTATAGTTAACGGTCTGGATCTGTAATTAGGAAAAATTGTCATCACAAAGATGGATTAACTGGTATATCTTCTAGCATGAACAGTGGTTTTAAAACAATAAGCCGCAGTGGTTTGAATAAAAGTGTCAGTTCAAAATTCCTGCAAGAGTACCAAATCTGACAGACATGTGAAGAAGGCCAGCATACAACAGTCAAAATGTTGTGATAAGAATACTGATGAGATTAATAATTATCTATTGTTATTTATCGATATTATTTATCTATGTATGAGGTCTGTTTGGAATGTATCCAGCCATTTTGAATATCTTGAGGACGGATTGCATGACCTTGATGTAACCTGCTAACAAACCAGGGAACTTACTGTGAATGCAGGAACAGACACTCTCTCATGATGTTACTCAGTCATCACATTTACAATAACCAAGCAAATAGATCTTAAAAAAAATTATTTTGCAAATAGTTGTTTTGTGTAGGTTTTTTGACAAAACATTGCACTGGCCATGACTACTGGCCACTCTACAGTTGAGTTTTATCAACCTGTGATTTTTAGCTTTTTTCAAAGCAAGCATTGACTTTGAAATACCATGGATGAATTTAACACTTTTACTGCTGCATTGTTAAAAAAATTTTGCCTGGCTGTACTGGCCTATGTTGGGAAAAATAGGAAATTGCCCTTTACTGGAAATAAATAATTATAGTCACTGACAGGAATATTTTTGCCATTTTGGTTTTGATTGGATAGGTTGCAGTACAGTTAACTCCCCGCAACACAATATAATACTACATCATAAGACAGGTTGTATTGTACACTACTATATGTGTATGCTGGTTAGGTAATAGCACTAATGCTAGCTAGTTTATAACACCAATGCAAGGCGCTGACATTTCACAGTATCTGACAGCAGGCAATGTATTTTGAAAAATATGTATATATATGTCCACAGCAGTGGAAATGTTAAGGAATTGACACCAAGACAGCTGATGGTAATCCCAGAAGAGGATGTTCAAGAGTTTTGTAAACTAGAAGTGTCTGAGGTACCAAGGAAGCACTTTAAAGGTGAGTAAGGTACCATTGTTCTAGGTAGGTTATTTTTTCATTAATATTAAATGGCTGGATAGTTTCCAGGAAGACCCTGTATAACTTTACAACTCAAGTCAGAAAATACTCTGACTTTAAAAGATTTAAAAAAAATTCAAATGTAATAAACTTACCTTTATTTTTAATAGCCTTGGTTTTTGATGAGCGTTCTGCCAAATGATTGGCAACAAGGAAATTAGGTCGACTATTGTCAAGCACATCTTGGAGAGGAGATGTCTGGATTCCAATAGATGTTTTAATTGCATGCCAAATGTCTTCACTGTCAGAGGCAACATCTGAAACAACCCGAGGAGATGGAATCATCGTTGTTGCATCCTTTTTTCTTGGTCTACTCTGCAAGTCAGAGTGGCCATTTATGGAAATTGGAATCTCAGGAGAGTTTGCTGTATGCTTATAATGTTGACAGCCGTTTGGGATGACCTGTTTTGATTTACTAAAGTGACCTTTTACCCTAACCTTTCCTTGTCCTGTTGCGTTTTGGATCAGTCTGTTTTGATCCAGTCTGGATGGATGGTTGTCTTTTAGCAGACGTTTGTCTGCTTGCTGCCTGGATGCAAGGCTGGCGTTCTTATGAGCAATATCAAGATGGTTCTTGAAAGAATTCGGTCGTTGAGACTTTGGTAGTTTTTCTGAAGCCGTAGTAGCACTTGCAGTAGACGTAGTTGACAGGCTGCTCATTTCAGCTGCTAAAACAAGGTCATTCATTTGCCGGTTGACCAAAATGTGGGTCAACTTACGCAGCTTCTGCTCACTAGCTTTATCTCTCAGCTTCATCCGCTCACATTTCTTCCTCTGCTTGTCAATTTTCTGCCGCAACCTGGCCATGATAGGATCCAAAAT